GTTTCTATGTATTATACAACAAAAAATTAAAAATACTTTTGGAAAGGTGATCTGATGATATCTGGCAGAAATATGGAAGAAACACACATACACACTATATGTAGTGCAAATAAGAGCTTGGGCTGTGAACTGGATCTTGTCACTAATACTAGAATTACGTTGATCTGACCCAGTGTGATTACAGTAATGGTGTATGTTAAAGACTTCTAAAGGCCCAGTCGAAAGCAACAAAAAGTAATATGTAACTGCTATATATTGCTAGTCAGCTAAGCCACCTGCCAGAAATCACTGAAACTATGCCACTATTCTTGAAATGTTACTTGGAACTATTGGTTAAAATTCTGTAGTGTAGATTTTCAACATAGGGAAAAGGAAGATTTTTTTAAAAGAATAAAATGCTATAGAATCACACTGTTGACTGAAATGTCACTTCTGTCTTCCCTAAAATAGAGATTGCAATGAGATTTTGACTGAGAGTGTAGGGTGTCAATGCTAAGTTTCTATGTAAGAAAGATGCATGTTGTTGTATAAGGGCTCTGTGTGATGCTATTTATGGAACCTGTCTCAGATGTCTTTCCATGAATAAACCAGCTGTCAAGAACCTCGGCCAGCATATAGCAGCAAATAATTTGAAATAGCATAAGCATTGTGTGGTATTCAGCCTCATTAGCTATTTGAAGTATAATTATTTTGCTGTTTTTGTAGCTCCAGCTAAACTTTACATCTTGTGTATTTGCATATGAAAGCAAGCCACTGAGGATGACTCATTGTGAATGTGCACTATGCATATTCGTGTTGCCCATTCATGACTGGTTGGCTTGATGCAGCTAGCTAAACTAAGTATAAGAAATAGAAAGTTTATTATGTTGCTCAGACTTCGATTCCTGTTATTTATATAAATAAAAATGTAATGTTCATTTGTGGAATTAACATAACTCAAAAACCACTGGTTGAATTGACACCAAATTTGGACACAAGACATCTGTTAGGTCAACAAGTGACCATCACTCATAAAAACACTAAAAACACAGCAGAAGAGATTTAAAAAGCCAAAAAACAAAAATTACATTACACTGCATGCGCAAAAACCACATATATACGGAAAAACATTCATACACAAATATATATACACACACAAAGCACATATACACAGACTGGGCCACAGCAACGCGTGGCAGGGGACGGCTAGTACTCTTTATAAGATAGCATTGGAATCAAGATCTTGAATTTGAGTGGTACAATAAGCCTTTGATTTCAAGCTAGTTTAGCACCATATTGTTAATATAGTCATTTTATATGTTAAGGTCCACTCTATTATGTGTAGTTGTGTTGTTTGAAATAATGATAGATTAAATCTTTATAGAGGAGTGATAGCTACCTGCCCATTTTGGAAGCAGATGTACCACTAGCAGTTAATAAGACTACATTTAGATTAAGCAGACACCATTGTGGATATCAGGCTTAAAAGTAAGATTTCTGAGCAAGCAGTAACACATAATTGATGAAGTTATGGATTCAAATCTCTTTGCCTAAGGCACCTCATAGGGTTATTAACGTATAATAGACTAATTATGCATATACACTTCGTAAACATAATGGATGTGGCCATTAAAATTTGCTAAACGATTGAAATTCAAGTTATAAACATGGTATATTTGACTTAATACGAAGCAGTGTGGTGGATTATTGTAAAAATGTTTTCATTTCTAGTTATCAGTGAGTATCAGTGGGACCAGTAGGACCAGTATGAAGGTGCAGGTCCGTAGCTTGGGGGTCCTCCTGGACTCAACGCTGTCGCTTGATGCTCAGGTGTCAGCGGTGGCCGGGAGGGCCTTTGCACAACTCAAACTTACGTGCCAGCTGCAACCATACCTCATGAAGTCTGACTTGGCCAGGGTGGTCCACGCCTTGGTTACATCCAAACTGGACTATTGCAATGCGCTCTACATGGGGCTGCCCTTGAAGACGACCCAGAAGTTTGAACTGGTACAGCGGGCTGCAGCCAGGCTCCTTACTGGAGCAAACTATAGGGAGCATACAACACCCCTATTAAAACAGCTTCATTGGCTGCCGATAAGTTGCCGAGCCAAATTCAAGGTGCAGGTCATGACTTATAAAGCGCTAAACGGTTCGGGCCCCGCCTATCTCTGCGATCGCATCTCCTTCTATGAACCGGCACGAGCTCTAAGATCTTCTGGGGAGGTCTTCCTTTCAGTCCCACTACTGTCTCAAGTGTGGTTGGTGGGGACAAGAGAGAGGGCCTTCTTGGTGGCCCCCCATCTCTGGAATGCCCTTCCAAGGGAAATAAGACAGGCCCCATCCCTCCCCTCCTTTCGTA